CCAGAAAAAATATTTCTCTATGCTAATAAATGTGGTATTCTCCGATGAGCCCCAAAGCAAAACTGAACTTACTGAGCATCTACTATGTGACATCAGGCAACGCAGATCACCAACTCCATCCTCCCGCAGACAGTAATAAAGTGAAAGGGGAAAGGGATAGGGTCCTAGATCAGGCGAAAAAGGGGGCCAGACCCTCAGACCCTCTTCTCCTGCCTAAAGAACGAAAGATGGAGAGCTAGGCGGAAAGAAATATGGGCAACTGCAATTACCGATGTTCCTGTGACCCTGCAACTGCTCCAGCGCCGCCCTCTCTTTGCGGAAACCATACTCCGCGGCCGAGGCCGCAGCCCCAGTAGTTCCTGGCGGCAAGAACTGCTTGAGGGCGCCGGGGGGCGAGCCAGGGTTGCCGCAGCAGCGCACCCGATACACCGAGGCCGAGGAGCCGCTACCCAGGCGGCTCTGTACCTGCCATAGCCGCCCGAAGGCCTCCAGAAACCGCGGCGGCTCCGCGCCCCAGGCGCAGCCGGATCCCGCCATCGGTGCGAGCGGAGGGCACTGACACGGGAGCTGACGCGACGCCCGAGGCAGGCCGGCCGGGCCCGCGGTCACATCCCCGCCCGCCGGACCAGCGGCTTCGCAGGGAGGGGCCTGCAGCCGCCTCACCGAGTCCCGGGACCTCAGGCCGCCATGACACCGGAAGCCGTAGTGCGCACCGTCCCAGAGCCGGATGTGGAGGCAGAGCCTATCCCTACGCGGGCTAGAGAAGGCGGGGCCAGAAGGGGTGGGGCTGGGGTGGTTCAGATTCATTAGGTTCGGAGGAAAGGACAGAGGAAAAGCTTAATTATCCAGTAGTTAGTATTCCGGGCCCAATGGTAACCGTTTGTACAACGTTACCAGAAGCTAAAACTGTTCGTTTTTCTTGTTGAGGCATCTCATAACTGGGAACCCACGAAAATAAAACTCAGTGTATAACGCTCATAAAAGGAATCTCAAGGAAGATACCCGCGACTGGAGGGCAGAGAGGACTCCACCACCCCCAGGCCCATGGTCACTAGTAACCATAATTATAGATGCCCAGACCCTTGCCTAGGCTGCTGCATCAAAGAGGAAAGTGGAGATCTATTAGAATTTTTTATTTTTCACTTGTTTTTTCAATTCATTCAACAAATGTTTACTGAGTAACAAATGTAGCAAATAGGAATCTCAATCTACAAACTAGTGTATGTAATAAATGTACTCTTCTTTTCAATAATTCAACTTTTTCTTTGTCAACCTTTATTTTGATTGGGTGGTAGAAACTTGGTCTCAGACAATTTGTTCCTATCCCCTTTTACTCAGGTTTTGTCCGAGTTCCTAACCAGCTGGAGCGGCTCACATAGTGCAAAGTGGAGAAGTTGAGGTGCTATCTTTCAGTATCATTAAGCATCTTCTTGGATGGTTGCCCCTGAGATGTACTTTATTTCTGTCTGCATAGCCCTTTCAAGGTATGGAGTAGGGAAAACTCTGTACACGCTACTGCTATTTCTAACAAGCATTTTCTTTTAAGTCTGAAGTCCACACCAACCTCATGAGAGGATTCTCTTTTGGAATACAAAAATCAAGTAAAGACAGGCTTTTGTGATTTTGCAGCTACATGACTCCATCTAACTGCTTGTACTGGGATGCCAAAAAAAGTATACACATTTTAAGAGACGTTTATCTATGTATTACTTTTCAAAGATGAATTGAATTATGGTGTATCCATGTGTAGTATGACCTTTACTCCAAAGATGGCTTTAATCAAGTGAATGCCAACTCACCATGAGACGGGCAGGAAAGTAAAAGAAAATGGTGGAAGCAGATTGTTATTTGAGGAGTGCAAGACCATTTTGAGTTTTTCCCCTTGGTTTCCTGACTTAACACACCTTGACTTCTACCTATGGGGAAACTTTAAGGCTTAAAGGATGTGGTTTGCCATAGAAAACCCAGTACTCTAGCAGTACTTGGGGAAGAGCACACACAGGTATACAACTGGACATTCGGGTCAAAGTAGCTCAAGCAATAGATCATCATAATCAGAAGTATCTGGACAATGATAGTAACCACTTTGTGCACCTCTTGTAGTTGCAGTAGTCGAACATGACTCTATTCTTTTGTCATCAGTACATGTTGAGTATTACAATTTTACAACAGTTTTTTTTTTCCTTTCATAAAATGTGTATATATATTTTTGGCACCCTCTGTATAAAGGGAGAAAAAAGTGAGGAAACTGGAGAATGGGAAGGGAAATGAAGAGCATAACAGCTTTAGGTCCTGAACAGAGGGAAAACATGAAACAGAAATGAACTTTGATCAGGACTTACTGCCCTCTTCCACCTTCTTCTTAATTCTGCATGATCTTCAAGGCAAACCAGGTCTATCCTGCCAACATGGGGCCTTCCACTCAGCTTCTCCTCCTCCTGCTGCTTCTCCAGTCACAGGAATGTGAGTCAGGAGCTCCTTCCCAGTAGCCTGACCTCCCAAGGGGTGGGGTGTCCATGTGGGCAGAATTGAGGACTCCATGTTAGGGAGATTAGGGGACCAGGTAGAGAGAAGAGGTTTGGAGACTTTAGAACATGAGACAGAAAGACTAACTAGAGAGTGAAGGATGGGGAAGGAGAGAGGGGAAAAGAGAAACACCTAAGACACATAGAATAATAACATTGTGAAGGCCAGAGTTAGAGGGAATCTGAAAGGCTTTGTATTTTATCTCCCTTGTTTTATAAATGAAGAGAAGATTGGAGAAATAAACAGGCTTTCTGAAATGCAAAGTATTTATATTTTTATTCTCACTTCTGTAAATTTTCTTGTAAGATGACAGATTTCCTTTTCCTCTTTAGTTTTCCTCACTCCTGCTGTCTCTCTTGCTAGATTTTTCCCCCTTCCACCTGGCAGCTATAAGCCCCAAAATGCCAGAGACTCACTTGGAATTGCATGTTCTAAGTGGAAGGAAACTACTGCCCCTCCCTAGTACACTCTGTCTTCTCCTGGGCAGTATCTCTTTTCAGTGGTTATGGTAAACTTTGATCACTCAAGGCTCCATGAGTATTTCTATAACAGAATCCATTTTTTCCTGGTGCTGAAATGTCTATTTTAAGGCTCTTCACGTTGGCTCTCAGGCGAGTGGATCAGTCAGTGGTCTGTCACACTATTTCTCATCTTTTGAATCCCCACATCCCCATTGATGTCATCAGCAGCTCTGGAAAGAAGTTTAGCTGGCTCCTTTGGTACTTTCCCTGTAAGTCTAGAGATGAAACCCTGGCTCAGACTGAGACTAAATTTAATTTCCCACTTATTAATTAATTAATTTCCCAGCTCTCCCACTTATTGTCTAAGCCAATCAATAAAACTTTCTTGGCCAAGGTTTCCTTGGCTAATTTTAATATGGGGTAAAATGGCAGTTATAATTAGATAAAATAACAAAAGTAGGCTCATAAAAGGCCTGCCTTACTCTGAGTTCTTAATAAAATTTGTGCCTTTTGCCTATTTCTGTTATTCTATGGTTGGACTTAGCCCATTAGAACAGAATGTAAACTTCTCATCATTACTCCTGCTTAGGAGCAAAGATACTACAGATGATTAATTGTGTTCTCTGCCAGGACTTGTAAGAATTTCTTCCATATGTTCTGTCTCCTTGTAGTGTCTGAGGGTCCTGGATTGTATTTCCTCTCTTGTCCAAGTTTACTTTCCTTCAGATGGAGGAGGATAACGTGGTGTAGGAGATTCATCCTATAGGGCATAGGCCCTTTTGGGATAGGAGGGGCTGGCTGTGAAAGGAATTCCACCATCTCTAGACATTTGGATTTGGAATCTGATTGGTCTGAAAGCTGCTAATGACTCAAAAGACCTGAGAAGACTTTGTTTAGTGCCTTGGTTCCCTCTTACTACAATGGAGAAATTATAGTCACTAAGGGCCTACTGCCAAGTTCCAAATCCCTGCAGAAATATCCTCCCAAACTTTTTTTCTTCTGGGAAGATGCCCAGTAATGGGATTGCAGGATGGGGAATCTTTTTGTTTTCTGGTTGAAAAGGGGTGGCTAAAAAAAATAGAGACATAGACACCTGGAGCTGAATAGAAAACCATGAGATGAAGCTAACATCTTACAGCCACCTAATCTTTCATAAATCAAATAAGAACATACACTGGGGAAAAGAATCTATTCAGTAAATGGTGCTGGGAGAACTGAATAACCACATGTAAAAGACTGAAACTGGACCTGCACTTTTCGCCACTCACTAAAATTGATTCAAGAAGGATAAAAGACCTAAATCTGGCTTGGCACCTGTAGCATAGTGGTTACAGCACCAGCCACATACCCTGAGGCCAGTGGGTTCAAATCTGGCCAGGGCCTGCTAAACACCAATGACACAAAAAACAACTGGCTATTCTGGCAGGTGCCTGTAATCTCAGCGACTTGGGAGGCTGAGGTAAGAGAATTGCTTAAACCCAAGTTTGAGGTTGCTGTGAGCTGTGATGCCACAGCACTCTCCCGAGGGTGACATAGTGAGACTCTGTCTCAAAAACAAAACAAACAAACAACAACAAAAAAAGGCCTAAATCTAAAACATGAAACAATAAAAATTGAAGAAAGTGGGAGGAAAACACTTGAAGGTATAGGCCTGGGAAAAGAATTTATAAAGAAGACTTCAGTGGCAATTGCAATAGCAGCAAAAATAAACAAATGGGACCTAATTAAACTGAATAGCTTCTCTACAGCTAAGGAGACAACAACCAAAGCAAATAGACAGTGATCAGAATGGGAAAGGATATTTGCATATTATGAATCAGAGAAAAGATTGATAACTAGGATCTACAGAGAACTCAAATTGAGCAACATAAAAAGAGCCAAAAATCCCTTATATCAATGGGCAAGAGACATGAATACAACCTTCCTAAAGAATACAGATGAATGGCTAGCAAACATGAAAAAATGCTCACCGTCCCTAATTATCAGAGAAATACAAATCAAAGCCACCCTGAAATACCACCTAATCCCAGTGAGAATGATTCACATCACAAAGTCTCAAAGCTGCAGATGCTGGCATGGGTGTGGAGAGAAGGAAACACTTTTACACTGCTGGTTGGACTGTAAATTAATACAATCTTTTTGGAAGGAAGTATGGAGAACCCTCAAAGAACTCAAACTATACCTCCCATTTGATCCTGCAGTCCCATTACTGGGCATCTTCCCAGAGGGGGGAAAAATCCTTTTATCATAAGGACACTTGCACTAGACTGTTTATCACAGCTCAATTTACATTCTCCAAAATGTGGAAATAATCTAAATGCTCACCAACCCAGGAATGGGTTAACAAGCTGTAGTATATGTACACCATGGAATACTATTCAGCCATTAAAAAGATGGAGACTACAGATCTTTTGTACTAATTTGCATGGAGGCGGAACACATTTTTCTTAGTAAAGCATCATAAGAATGGAGAAGCAAGAATCCAATGTACTAATTTTGACATGAGGACAATTGATGACCTAGTATGGGTAGGGGAATGGGAGAGCAGGGAGAGGGAAGGAGGGGTGAGGGGAGAGGGTCACACAATTTGGCACACTTCTTGGGGGAGGAACACATTTATAAGAGGGACTTTGCCTGACAAATGCAATTAGTATACCCCGGATCTTTGTACCCTCAATGTATCCCCAACAATTAAAAAAAAAAAAAGAAAAGTGATGGCTAAGAGG